TATCTCTAACTCGACACCCGAGAGATGTGCGATGAAATTAATTCCATTCTTCGTCTCCCTAGTCGCAGTATTCTTGCTCAACCCAACATGTATTTTATAGTGCCGTGCCGGGGCAATAGGCGCGCCGCAGTCACGCATTCGAGCAAGAGCCTTTTCTTTTCTTAGCTATGTAAATAGAGGGCCGGAGGAACGTTAGCTATTTGATAGCCTCAACAAAAGAATGGATTAAGGTGATAGAGTGTTACAGTAGACGCTAGGCTTCGTAATTTAAAAAAGAAAACGCTTTATCTGGCGGTCTCGTATACGTATAGTTGATCACCGCTGCCAGAACCTCTCAATCTCATAAGAGAAGAAAGCGTAAAAAAGAGCTTCCTCTATAATAAGAAATTACTATTATTTATCACCCGAGGGAACTGAACTCACTTAATCCTCATCTCTTGAACTCACTGAAACCAAGCCAATGGAGATTGGCGGGTAAGATGCTGGAAATAGACTTCGCCGAATCCCTTTTCATTACATCCAACCTTTGCTACTTCTGCTACCGCAGCCCTTGCTGATTGACTTGATTGGTCCCCTTCCACCTTTCTAAAGAGGAGAGAAAGAAATCCCCCTACTCGCCGAAGGAAGAGGCATCTCATGCCATGCTTCTTCTGTCCACCAATCGCATTCGTGGATATCTTCTTGCAGGAGTGGTGCTTTGGGAAAGAAGTGACCTGACTTCCCCAGGTCTGAGTTTAGTTGCTATTGAGGAAGATCCTTGTTTGGTTTTCAAATATGATACTTCCTCCAGCACCGGTTAGTGATTCAATCACAGCTTCTACTGTAAGACTGGCTACGAGAGCAGTCAGAGCTGATACGATCACATTTGAGAAGTCTCACGGGCCCTCCTTAGCTAGTCTTATGCCATTCGTGCCCTACGACTAGTAGTCCTTTCTCTTATTATACGACGATAGCACTCGCAAATCCCACTAACAACCGATTCTATACCAGCAGATGAAATAGTACCGGAGTCATTTCCATTAAACCTTCCACCAAGAACTGATTCAATAGCTGCGCTTACGGATAGTTGACCAAGAGCCTCTACGATCAGATCTGCAGCGGAAATGCCATTAACAGCGGGTAGGCAAAGAACGGTTATTCTCGATGCAGTGGGAACAGTAAGAGCGGAAAGGGTTATTACAAGACTGGGTATTCAATAGCCAGGGATGACAGCTTATTCCCCCAAAAGCAAGGGTCTCTGCAGTTTTCCTTGGTTTGCTATATGAGTGTTCTTAGATTACCTTATTCTGTTGATATAAGAAATTATATTCAATTCTCACTTCCTCCTCTTTATGGTTAAGCCGATAAAGAAAGATGAAGTCGAAAATCTCTGGACTTTCATGCATAGTCTAACAGGTAATATTTGGGAAGATTGAAATGAAGTTTCAGTCTTAGGTATTAAAGACAGAATCAATGGCACCGGCACACTATTCGTCCTATTTGGAGCCAACTAAGGAGTTGCGAAAGCCTGCTCCTACACCTCCAGATCAAATGGCTTTCTCGAATAAATTAAATAAGAATATTGAAGCAGGTCGCAGGCCGACCATGAAGAAGACGTATCGCTACATCTCTAGTGAGCAACGTCGAGAAAGTGATCCCATCTTTAATATCAGGAGTCTCTCTCGAAGAGGTTCCATGTCTAAGACTCAAGATCTCTCCAAACGTGGTCATACCAGTTGATGCCACTAAGGCGGAGAGAAGAGGGAAGAGGAAGCGCCCTGCCACTAGACGTCCTCCTTTACGTTCTCTTCTACGAAAGTTCGATGTTCCCACAACTGTCGACAAGAATGAAGGTCGTGAAGCGTCACTCCCCGCTGCATCTGCATGATTATAAAGTAATTCACTTGATGACGGAAATGGGCTATGACCCTTTCAAACAAAGGTGAAGAGCTTTGCGTTCCAACGACATCTTTAAATTTCGCCCCCAGTCGTCTACTGCTAGTGGCCGCTCAGCTCCTCTAGCATCTGATCAGGCATCAACATATAAGAAAGGTCTTCTTTGGCAGATGGAGGCCATACCGAATCAAATACTAGAGTAGAGAAATTCTTTAGCGAAATGCCACATCCGACGTGTGCTCGGAATCCTACGCAGTAGCAAATAGGCTCTCTTAACTTTATACCCATACCCCCAACTACGGGAGACAAGGCGTCTAATTTGGCCATTTTTCAAACTATTCTCTAATAAGTAATAAGTAAGATCGTGCCCCTGCCTTACTTCTTTCGGTATACAGCCCTGATACATGACATGAAAAGTCGCTGGCAGGATAGGCCCTAAGTCATTTTTTATTCTCTCTCGCCGCGGCTAGTGATGCGCTACGATGGTTTGCAAAGCTATCCAAGCAATTCTTTTATTCTTGGTCTCATTTAAACGAGTCTTTCTTTTCGTGGCACGTTTTCACGATCACTCTAGAAGAGTGACTATTGAACAAGTGAACACACTGCGATCCCTGCAATGCGAATCAGCTAGTCAATCCATTTTTGCTAAGCTGAATAGATATGAGGCTCTATAGCCATAGCCCGCATCTGCACCCAAACACTGGGACAAGCATGGGCCAAAGCTTCTGAAGGAAATTGGGTGACCTCGGCAGCTTTGCCTCCCACTTTGTAGAGCTACTGACAGCCTTGAAGAAGGGAAGCACTTCAATGTCTGCATGTCAGATGACCGGTGCTACCAATCCGGACCCTGTCCTTCCATTACGTATATAAAGTGTGCTTACGCATAAAAAAGGCTTAGGGGCTCCCGGCCCGGACTGAGAATTGGATTTTTCCCAATCTCTTTCTATCTCGCATGATGGGGCGAAGAGAGTTTCGAACCTGGCCAGTCAAATGTGAACTGCCGCGGTCTTCTTGGACCGCATTCCATGTCACAGTAGGTCATGTGGAGAGACCGCATTGATTGCAGCATTAGTCGCAAGTAGAGGCATTGTTGTTGGAAGGCCCAGTAACAAGGGAAGAATTTCCAGCTTTCGGGCGCTTTCCTTTCACTCTCCACGCTTGGAGGAATCGCAGCAGAGGTGATTTCCTTTCCTTCCTTCTAATACGGATGTCGGCTAATAAGCTGAATATCGGATAATTGGCTTCAAAGGGTGTAGGTAAGATTGGAAGCATAAACTATAGATTCTCCAATCCCTTGACTTTCCCAATCTTTTCAAATTCTCTTTTTAGCTGTGATTTGAATGTATAAAGTTTGTCTTCAACCTCCCTGGTTTCGACATGGGTTCAAAACTCCGATTTTTTTAAAAACGGTTAAGAAGTAGGAGCGAATTCGTCTATCACAGGTAGTCGCTCACCCGCAGGTCTTTCTCATATATAAGCTAAGCCAGGAGGGTAATATGAATTGGACTTTCAAGTAGGGGGCTTCTAAGCACCAGTAAGAAAGTTCAAATCCAGTGATCGGGACTAGCAGGAATAACATTCAGTACAATTTCATCGTTCCCTCAAAAGCCAATATGTTAATATTCCCATCAACACCTTTTCTTTTATTGTTATTGCCGATACGACAGTTTGAGTGCCAATAAGCGTTCCTTATAACTGATAAAGGGATCGGGATCCTCGAAGTGCAGGGTTTTCTCAGCTGCGGGGACAGGACAACATTCTTTTTCCTGCTCGTTCTGTTATTGATTTACTGGGAATGAATACCATTTTCCTGCTTTCTGGTCTATTTTAGTTTCATGAGGATCTCCCTAGGTGTCGGTACGCGGGATCGAGGATCCCATACAAAAGATGAAGGAAGGGATTTGACAGCAAAACTCACTTCGCTCGCCTTGGAAATCGGCGAAAGATAGCAAGCGGACAGCGATTCGGGTTCCTATGCAAAAAGAAGATGCTCAGCAAGCCAACCTCGTACACAGAACGAACAAACTCAGGCTCAGCCAGGGCCCTACTCTCTTCCAAAAAGAGAACAGCTCCATCCCTCAATCACCCTATACGGGATGCCGGACCGGAATCCGCCTCTTCTCTGTTGGTTGAGAAGTACTCTTCTCCTTTTTTGGTTTGCAAGGGAAGAGTCAGCAAGAGCAGCCCAGAGATGAGAGGAAGAGGCTCAGTATCCACTGGTTTCAGTAGTAGGAGTTGCCCATTGTTCACCGAAGTCGTCAGAGAGGGAATCCTCTCACTTTTCATTGGACAAAGAGGCTATCTAAAGTCTATTAATCAATAAGCAAAGTCTAAGGCAATACCAATACTACTACTCTCTACTAATGACATATGATTTCACTGTAGAGCAATAACATAGAGAAATAGAATATAGTAAGGTAGTATAGTGTAAAAAGGACCAAGGACGAATAAAGAAGAAGAAGGAGTAGGAGCTAATTCGAACGGAATCGAATGATTACGAGATAAACAATGAGACAAAGCCAAGCACTGAGACAATTCACTTTGAGTACAGGGAAGTCCGCTGGTAGGAATTCTTCAGGGCGTATTACTGTTTTTCACCGAGGGGGTGGATCGAAGCGATTGCAGCGAAGAATGGATCTGAAACGAAGCACTTCGTCTATGGGCATTGTAGAAAGGATAGAATATGACCCTAATCGTTCTTCTCGGATCGCTCTAGTACGATGGATCGAGGGGGTGCAGCTACGCTGCCAGAGGAAATGCAAGACGATAGAAGAGTTCGCTCCGCCGCGTAAGATCCTCGAACCTACCACGCCCACCATACGCGGACTCTTTTCGTTCTCTTCCCTGTCCGTGAAGGTGGATCAAAGAAAGGTAGCTTGCTTCTCTCCTGGACTGATGGAGGCTTATGTAGTGGTCGGCCTTCCTACCGGAATACCTCCTTGGTCGAAGAGCCCCTTTACTAGTAAGGGCGCAGGAAGCAAAAAAACTTGCGCGAAGGACGTCTTCTTCTCTGCCTTCTCCTCTCCAAAGGCCAAGGGGGGACTGCATCCCTTTCCTTCGGTAGCTCTTTGACTTTCCCAAGGATAGCGGTAGCTGGGGCAAAGCCCGCTTTCTTCGCTCCGCGAATGAGAGAGAAAGTAAGAGGAAAAAACACGTTCTCTCTTTGCGAGGTCCGAAAGTGGAGAACACATAGCATTCTCTGGGCACATAGGATCAAACGTAAAGCAGCGCTTTCTTGGCAGAGTTTTAGGCGGCAAGAGACTTTAGGGCTTGTTGGAGCTTCTGAGCATAACGAATCGAAGCCGAAGACGGATCAAGGTAGCTTGCCTGCCAAGCCGATAGGCGAAGTGCCGAAGGATGGAGCGTGCAAAGTCGATCGTGCCCCTGTCGTGTGACCCGTTGGTCCTAAGCAATGTCTTGCGCGAAGCGACCCACCTAGAAACAGCTCTCCTTTATGTTAGGGGGTACTAAAATGGAACTTCGATCGGATGCGGGTATTCAATCCCGCCGCTGAGATGTCCAGCGGATTCTTGGGCCTTGACGAATGGCCGGCCACCTTTACGCAAGAGCAGCTCCACGCATGCCAGACGAACCAACGTGAATGAGTGTAAGCTTCGTTGCCCGAACACGATTGGTGCTGACCACACTAGGTGCTACCGCGGTAGCAAGAGAGGCCAGGCGGTGACAATTGAGAGGTTGTCACTGAGCATTCCTAGTCACACGGGAAGAGAGGTCAAATGGCAAGGCCATACGCCCGTTTGGCTCCTCGCGGAGTATAGCTCACATCCAAACATCTGATTGGGGAACGGGGCAACGCCCATGAAGCTCCGGCGGAAAGGGAAGGCCTGCCAGGCCGTATGCCCATGGGTGCAGGATTCTTCGAAAAAGCGCGGGCTGACTCGGAGGCCTAGGACCTTGACTTAGCAACGAATGAAGTGGAAGCCCGCCGTTAGCCTAGCGGAAGGGCTCGCCTCGCTCCCTAAGCTTCACTGTACTTCGCCTCCGTAATGCCTCCCTTCATTTGCTTGCCCCCTTCCAGCTCAGAATGCCTAATGCCTATTATCTAGTTCTAGAAGCTAACCACCAGAAGCTCACCCTTCGGGTATCGCTTCCAGCGCAGGAGGCCAAGCATTCTGCCAGACGTCCCGGCCTGGGAGCCCCGTTCGCCTTTGATACTTCAGTAGATCTTCAAAAAGAAAAAGAAAGACTTCAATGCAGCCTTAACTACAACTACATTACGCAAGCTCCACCAATACCTACCTATAGAGTCAAAAAAGTACCCGTGACGGTGACTTTCTAGGTTTATGGATTCAGTCAGCTAAACTCCTCAATAAATATCAACAAACAACATGTCGTGACCGGTGTAGCTAAGTTTCCAAAGGTGAACAGCCCCCTGTCCTTTATAGTCGTAAAGGGCTTCTCAGAAAAGTAAGGAAGGGGGCATTCGAAAGGCCGACCACTATATCATAGGCCTTCTGGTAGGAAGGCCGACGACTACACGGACTCTATACCAAGTCATGAGCGATAGCGAAGCCAAGCTGCCGCCTATAGGCGAAGGGGTTTACCGACGAAGACCTATGATATAGTAAGAAAGAAAGTACGAAATAAAATAAGGTTACGAAGTCACTTAGCCGTCTACAAAGGGAAAGGCGTCGGTACGGAGCCACGTCAGCTGTGGATATAGACTAGGCGCTATAAGGAACGGAGTCTTAAACTATGGACCGAGACTACACTAAGGAACAAGGAAAAGGAAGTTTGACTGAGCAAAGAAGTCAAGGAACGAAGCTGCTTCTCTAATAGCCCCGTTGAATAGGAGGGCGAAGGCTTTTTGAAAAAGTCTTTTTTGTCTGCATTTTTTTCTAATTTCTATTTAGAGAGAGGGGGCTTCCAGTTCTTAGGAAGAGCCGTACGAGGCAGCTCACGTACGGTTCGGGAGCCGAGCCCCGGCACAGGGGCTTAGGTCAACACTTATATAATAGCCAGTCATCAATTGGAAGCAGGCAAAATGGTGATAAATTGCGATTGGTCCAAACCTTCGACCCGCGACTTATTGCGACCCGCCCGGAATGCCCATTCATACTAAGACCTTATTCACACAAGCCGAAGAAAGGCCGAGTGGACGGGGGCTGTCAGCTGGCCGCTTCGTCGGCCACGCCTCCCCTGCTCATGGGGACAGGCGAGACTCTCTCTAAATCTCGAAAATAGAAATCGCATACCAGTAGTCGATATACGTATAGGAAGATGGTTACATTATATTAAATGTCATTCAGGCCAAGGCTGGCTCGAGCCGCAGGAACTTTAGCTAAAATAATGAAGGAACCAGCACCCCCTACACTCTCTCTTAGGCTTGTGCGGCTACCTTCGGGTGTTGAAAAAGTCATTGATTCCCGATGCCGAGCTACTATTGGTATAGTTTCCAATCCCAACCATGATGCACGAAAGCAGGATAAAGCCGGTGGTTAGGCAGACGCCCCATTGTTCGTGGTGTTGCAATGAATTCAGCTGGATCGACCCCGCATGGAGTGAGGTGAGAGGCGCACAAAAGGTAACGAAATCTCGGCGTCACCTTGAGTGGATGCTCCCACCCCAGCTGGATTTCGGGCAGGAGCTGGGGAAAGTGCAGAAATGAGTTCATGCCACGACGATCTATATGGAAGGGCAGTTTTTTTTTATGCATTCCTGTTGAGAAAGTCTTTTTTTATTTAGTTCTCCAACTCCGGATGAGTTTGATTGAGGCCTCCGGCGCCTCTTTTGAAGACTTTTTGTTTCGCCCCTCAGGGAGGAAAAAACTGGATTTGGTGCCCTCCAAGATCCCCCTCGGGCTCGGGGGGCCTTTGCCTTCATTTCTTGAAGAGCACGAGGTCACCTCTTCATCAATATAAAGGAAGGCCAGAAAAAATGTTTTGAATTCCCCCAGAACCCAATAAAAAATAGCGGTAAGTGATGAGGGGGCGGCTTCTCTTGTGGTAGTAATTGCGAACTCATTCCATTTTTGGAGGATTGGTTCCCTGTTCCTGCGGCTGAGAAGCCTCAAGCTCCGCCCCCTTAATTTAATCAACCTCTATAAAATAAAAAAAGCCCTTTCCCTAATTTTTTAAGAGAAGAGAGATTTATTACATCCAATTACAAACTACACGAAAGTTGTCCATTTTTTAAAGGAATGTAGTCATCGGCAAGGTCTTGACTTAATTCTTTACAATGCATTGGAGCTAGGGATAATCTAGTTCAGTCATTACAGTTATAAATTTGGGGAGGAAATAGAAAATAGGGGATGGGGTCAGTTACCGTTGGAAGGCTAGGCAACTCAAAGTCGAAGTCGGCTAGCTGGTGGTTCCAAAAGAAGTTCATCAGACAGGGAAAGGATTACACTCTTTTATACTTCGGTCCCCTTGAGAAGGCTTTCCCTAAAAAGGAAAGGGCTGTAGTAGCAGCGTATTAAAGGGCAACCACTTTTTTGGGGATAGGCCAGACAAGAGAAGTTTTCTCTGTGCCCGAGAAGAGTGGAATCCCTGGTTGAGTCTCGAGCAGTTTTTCACTGATCATAACCAAGTGCTTGTTGGGACGTCTTAGACCTTTCAATTGGCCTTTATCTCCAAAAAATATCGATACTTTTTACATACAAAGAATTTACTTGTTACTAATAGAGTTTAGCCTCGGTCATTCTTTAGATCCCTTGTTTCACTCCGATAGTATCATAAATCGGTTCAATGCAGAGGATGCATTTCCATACTATTAAGTATTAAGTAAATGAAATAAATAAAACTAAGTAGGTAAAATAGCTAAAAAAATACAATATGGATTCTACTACATCACTTACTCTACTGGATTTTACGGAGCCTGCTCATGCACGACATGATTGGGTCTGATCATAGAAAAGATTCTCTTCAAACGAACCGGCCTATCCTATGTATGCGGCTTACGCAGTGGTTAGAACAAAGACACATTTGGTTGTGAATTCCAATGTGGCGGATAAAGGCATATATCTGCACGGCCAAAACAATAGTCCAAGTCACACACTCCCATAATCCACACTTTTCTCTTAGGAGAATTCACTTCAACTATTCATGTCAAATAAATAATACAATTTTTTTGTCCTCAACATCCCTTAATTTCTAGGAATTAGTCACTTCAACAGTCTTCGATGGTTATATGGGTATCCAAAGTACGAATGAGATGGATATTTGTTGTCCCAACCATTCTTCTTAGTCCCGATCCCAATAAGGAAAGGGAGAAATTTATAAAGCAAAGTTTTCGTGTTGCCGATTCCTAAAGCGTAGTGCTTCTTCCTCTATGCGGCCTAGTGAGACAGTGGAGCAGAGCACCCGCAATACATAACCCATAGCCATAGGTTACCCCTTTTTCAGGAGTGTCCTTTCAACTAAGGAATCAAGCAATTTCCTCCTACGCTCCTCCTTTCGCTTGCTACCTGGCGTGCATACTTCACAACTACTTCCGATCTCGACGAAGTGGTGCTTGTTGCGGCGAGGAGATCTAAGCTGGTAATCCCATCTATCTTGGAGTTTTATTTGAGACAAATGTGCCTGCCCGGTCTCATCTCGAAGGCAGGGACCAGTTATCGGGAATGGAGGAAGCTTCACTTTCTTACTTTCTCCTTTCTTATGAATCTTTATTTCTTTAGGGGCCTCTCTTATCTGCCTGTAAAGTTCCTTTCCTTCCTCTCTACCGTTGGTCTTTGTTTTGGCGTCGCCGAAGAACCACGTCACCCGTAGGCGGCAGAACCTTGATTACTTATGAGTGCCCTAGTTAGCTATCTCATCCAACCAATTATCTTTTCTGTATGCTCTATGCAGTTTTTGTGCTTTTCTTTTCTTATTGCCTTATCCACTCACTTTCGTAGTCTAGTATTAGTCAATAAACTATACTCAGACATTTATCAATAGCTCGCTCAAGTTGCTGCAAGGTAAGCTTCCAAGCCTCTAATGAGGCAAAGTATGGAATCTTGACGTATATATCTAAAAACCAAACTCTGCAGTGAGCAGAATATTCTAGTAAACTGGCATCAAGAGGGGGTTCTTTGCCCTAAAGAATGTAGACCTAATGTCAGTCCACATAGAATGTCTCCTTGGGTGCCCCTTTCAGATCATGTAGCTAGACCCAGATTGTCCACCCAATCCTGTGACCAGGGAGTTGAAAATGGAGAAAGTGTCACTATGTTATCGATTCCAAACATTTTAGCCATGAACCCGTGGAGATGGGGAGTATAGAAGTCTTAGCTTATGTGATGGATGACATAAGCTTTGGAACTGTGATTCGAATTCTAATTCATATTCTTTTATCTTTCTATCAGAATCAGATTAGGATTCCATTTTCGATTGGACCGTTGGCCTTGGATTCAGGTTCGTTTACTTATACATACACATAATCGGATTTTGATTCACAGATTTCCTGGATCCGACACGGCTTCTTTCTTTGTGCATCTTTCTTTCTCCCAGTTATTTATTGTGCTTGTATCGTTCTTGTATCAGTAGTCACAGCAGTTACATTCCCCCTTAGTTCCTGCTCGCTCCCTTTTAACACCATTGGAAAGGTCTCTGTAAGGCTCCAGCGTAGAGATAGCTTCCTTCTTTTTGTCTAGTCAAGCTAGAGGGGAAGGTGAGTTCTTTGCAAAGGGAAATCCTCTCTTTCAGGCCTTAGTCCGGCCTTTACATTATAGGTTGAGACTTTACTTAGCCATCACCCACCTTTTCATTCTTTAGTTTGTGCTGTCTGCCAGATAGCAGATGCATTGGCAGCTGGGCGCTCCCCCTCTCTACGCCCTTGCTTTTCAAGGGGTCCTCGAATAATAAGCAGAAAAAGTCTGCCTGGCCCTCTCCTCTCAGGCGCAGAGATGAATACAATTGAGCGGCGTCGCTGAACCAAAGGCCTTAGTATACAAGGGCACAGCCATTTCAAAATAAAAAGCAAGCCCAGTTTTTTTCCAAATAGTCAAGGCACGGTAACAAAGGTACTCGCGAACCTCGTAGCGGGGAGGCGGCTTATTGCAGCAATTTGAATCAGTAATCATCAATGCATAAGGGAATAGCACGAAGCGATGATATGCTTCGCAAGCAAATGGGTCAATGACTAGATAGCCACGGTAAGATGGAAGGCCCGCGCTAATGCCCTTAGAGTCGTCGGTCGAATTACCGATCAATTAGATTCTTGGATGAGCGGAACATCTTTGAGACAAATCATCTCTACCCGGGTACATAGCTTCATCCAAACCATGGATCCACGAATTGTTGACTCGCTCGAGAAAAGAGCTTCGTAGTTGGGAGCTCTGAGCCGATGAGCGATATGTAATCCTAAGATTAGAACTATGGTGTACTACTTCCCAATAATATAGTTGTTTGATCTTTTAGATTTTTTCTATTTTAGGTATTTTGCCTAGTCTTCATTTCCCTTTTTTCTATTTTATCAAGATGGATAGTAAGAAAGCATGAATAGGCGTTTTAGGAAAGTCGGGATTTTAGGCTAAGGAGCTAAAGGCTTAAACCAATAGTTGTTGAGTACCCAGATGCAAGGCAATCATTCCGGTTATCGGAGTTGAAGCTTATCTAATAAGATAAGGATAGGGTGGCATAGAAAGAGGAGTTCTCCTCAAGTTTCACTCGAATAAGAGTAAGAGGCAAGGGAATCTAATCCCAATATTCCCTAATAAGAAAGGGGCTAGAAAGGTTGTCAAGGGAATTGAACTATCTCTTGCAGCTGCAGTCTCGGGGTTTCACTAAGTCTTTTTTCTTCACCGGAATTGGAATCTGAGACAAGAAACGAATCTGGGACAAGAGAATCAAGCGAAACTGCTGGATCCCATGCTGTTCACAAAGCGGCTCTTACTATAGACCCGGCTATCTCCGAGTTGAAATCGATCCCAGATCCAGGAATCTTTCTGATCGTGACTTTATATTAGGAAAGTCTGTTCTGTCTAATATCTATCCTGGCTGATAGTGCTGATCATTCCTTTGTTATTCTTCCAGGATTGGCTTATCTTATTTTGAAACAGATTGGACTACTTCAATAAGTCCCAATCCCGGGGCGGGAAGTTCAACAGCTTGTTAGAAAGTCGTTCAAAACAAAGGCATGAAGCTTGGCATGGATAAATTTCCAGTGGAAAACTTGAAGGCCTCAATCAATGGAAGGGTTCGCCTTCCAGTACGAACAAAGGTTCTGTCCACTCCCTTGCCGAAAGCTTTGCTACCTACACCTAGCTTTGAAAGAGTTGTGGAAGCTGCCAGTCCTGGTTGAGGAAAAAGACTATGCCAAAGAACGTTTATAAACCCGAGTCAGGTACAGGAAAAGCGAAAGAAGCTCTTCTCTTTAGCGGTAAACTTTTTCATATAATCGAATTCTTGGTCAAGGAGCGAAAGATAACTCGAAAAAGGCCAATAGGTATAGAAAAGATCGTCAAACGTCTCTCTCTTATAGCGCGCTTAGCAGCTCTTTATTCCTTTAATGGCTACTTCCATTTCCATCAACGGCCCTTACAAGGTTCATCCAGGCTGCCTGACTGCAGGCATTCAAGTTTAAACTGGGTAAGACTCCCCTACACGCTTACCTATCTAAACATGGCATTCTCTCTTTCTGCCTTTATGCGACTAGATTCAATATGCCTAGGACACGGTTTTCCTGCAAGCTGAGTGTGTAAGGCCCCGCGGGGAACGCCCTTTACCTTTAGGTCAGAATGCCGCTATCATGTGCGGATAAGCCTTCCGATTAGCTGACTGAGACCATCTCCGGCTTATAGCTGGTAGAACTAGATAGCTGTTATAACGTCAGGTCAACTGCAATCTATGGCAGTTTCTTAAAGTCTGTAGCTCCTCAGGTCGACTAAGCCTAAGCCACTAAGGAAGAGTTTTGAATCAATATCTGCTATCTACCCACTGCCCATAAGCATGTCTGAATAAGCCTGCTGATTAGCTTAGCCCACCCCGACCACCTCTATAGAAAGGTCTTACCTATTCAAAAACCAAGCTATCTATATACCTTTAAGCCCACGGTTTCATTCCAATGCTTTGATTAGTTACGAAGACGTGAACCTTTACCTTGCATGCCTGTCTACATCGGATAAACTAGAGTACTGATTTCCAGAAGGGAATGACTTATTACCGGGTTAGAAAAGTGAGTCTTCCTTTCATTGCTTGCTTGGTGCACACTTCCTTTTCCTCATAGTGACTTTTCCTGAGAACCCCAAGCCTGAATACCTGAATAGAAGGCAAGGCCAAGTAGCTCCCATTCCAAAAAACCTTCTCTTAAAGTCAGTGTCTTGGTTGCAGCTCTTAAAGTAAGAACAGGATTCCGGGTTGCTCTATCGGTAAAGAAATTCTATTACCGGACGGAGAAAAGAGAACTAACTAACCTTAACCCTTAGATCTCTGGTCGGCTATCGGTAAAGGAACCTTCTGGCCGGTTAGGTTAAGCAAAGAACGCAGGTAACCTTACCGGGGTTTATTCGTGAAAGTCAGCTCTGACCGGGCTCTGGAGATGAATACCGATAGAGCTTACCGGATGCACCATCGACCTCAGACAGCTCGCCCGTGCGGGGGAAGAACTAAAAAGAAAAAAAAACGTAGTGAGTGAGTAAAAAGCAAATACCAATGAAGACCAGACCTGGAATTTCAAACACGAAAACGTAGTAGCCTAGCCGGGGAGGGATCTTCTCCAGCTCCACTCCTTGTTATATATATAGTTATAGAGTGGAAAACTACGCTTAAAATTCAAGCCATGAAAGTGAATTTTTGGATTATAAAACATGGCCTCGGAGACCTTTCCTAGGTGGATCGAAGAGCTGCTAACAAAAGGGCGAAGTCGGGATGGATTCACACATAAAATAGACGTGGACGGATGGAAAGCCCGGAGACCAGAGACCGGAAGAAAATATCCATTTTTTGGAAAAGACAGAGATGAAGATTGAGCCAATGTTTTAAAAAATACCATAAGCAGATTAAACTTCTATTTATTATAGATTCTATATTTTGCACCTTCAAAAGAGATCTCGAAGGGTATATTGAATTACCAGAAATCGATTCATGTGTACTTCTTGCTGCTTCAGGGAAAGAAAGATAGAGGAACTAATTCAAGACAGTCATTTTGGACGGGAAGAGTATGACATATTCCAGGGGCAGATGCCACTTCCACTTGAATTAAGGAATGAGCGTGGTGCGGGGTATATTACATACAATAATAATAATTCTTGTTTCGCTACAGCCGTACCTCCGTACTCTGATTTGACAGCTCGAAAGGGAATAGATGTTCCATCAAATGGATGAGTGTACCGTAGTGGAGATATTGATTTGGTAAACGGAGGACCCCAAGCAAGAGAGCTCAGACCGGCATCTATTTTATAAAAGAAGAACTGGATTGACCAGACAGCTCAACCGTTGACCAGCCAACCGGCAAATACATTTCATTTATACATAAGGATCCAGCTGGTGTGCCACACCTCCAACTCCAACTACTACAGGAAAGATTCCACCCCCTCTCATGAATCAATTTGATGGATCGTACCTTCCTCTTTTGGAAGTTGGAAGTCCCGCCAACCGGTGGCTCTGGTTTACCATTATTATTATTTACCGTTATTTCCTCCTCTACCTCTATAATTGGATTAGTGGTTAACTACTACTTTACCCTAAAATTAGTATGTTGTTGTTAATATTCCTTAATTCTTATTATGTTGGTACTTTTTCCAATGCTATTGAGAATTCTGCTTATTCATATGCATGTGTTATCCCTAAATCCCCATCAAAGTCCAAATCCTCAAAAACTACCCAACGTTTTCCTTATGTCGCAGCAACCAGCTAGCTAGAACTAGAAGAAGAAGGCGAGCTAGCAGATGAACTAAGCAGCATACTTTATATGTTGAATAGAAGGAATGAAACCGACGTACCGTATTGACCGGCGGGTATATATATATTAATGAAAGAACTAAACCACCGCCCGCAGCTGCTCCTCCAACGCCAACGGCTACTGATTGTGTCAGCCATTCCTTTCTTCTTGCTATTGATATAGTGGAATTAATTCCAGTCATTCCCTTAAATCCGTTTTTTTCAGTTAAAGTCTATCTCTAAACGGGGATTGATGAAGAACAGCTCCAAGAGACTTTAAGCCATAACTTGACCTAGGCCCAGCCCCTTAAACAATATATTCATAGTTACAGCCCCTTACTCTATGAATGTAATGTTCACCTTAAGTTCAGGTTAGGTTACCGATTTCCCGCGTTCTGTTCTTCTTCACTTTCAAATAACCTATTTTGATGGCACGATTGGAATTACCCGAAACACCCGGTAAGGTGAGGAGCACATATACATATTCTCGCAGATATCGCCCCGAAAAAAGGACCAGGATTGATTGACTCGAGGATTGACCAAGACCGAAGCTCCCTAGCTCAAACTAAGATCTTGGCTTCGTAACTCCTTCCTTCGCTCATTGGGTACGAAAGTTGGAACTCGTACTTTGATCTCTTTTCAGATCATATAAGATACCTTTCTATATCCTCTAACCCAATCCAATTTAGACACAAAGGATGCCAGCCACTTATATTATAGGCTTTCTTGGTAAGCTAATCCTCATACTCAGGTGCCCTAGAAGGGGAAAACCTTAAATTCTCGGATCAAGAAGAAGTCGTCTTACGTTCTATCAATAAACAACCAAAACGACCAGGAGGATAGAAAGCAGTAGTGGTATATTGCTAGCTTACTTCATCAAGTGAGAAGAAAGTGGGATGTGAGAGTAAGGAAGTGAAGTAGGTAAGCTCAATCTCGGTCAAGTAGTTGCAGAGTTCAGGATAAACTTCAACGATAGGCGGGGTTATACGGCGAGATTTGTCTTGACTTGGTCGATAAAGACAATCGGAAGCTCTTTGTGATCGCGCGGCTCCTGCTTTTTGGCAATCAAGCGCCTGGATCTCGGCCTCCCGATTTCTCTTCTTCCTGCGAAAGTCTTGCGAAAATCGAGAGTTCGAAGTCCGAGAGATGCTAGGCTAGGTCTCGTCTAAGCCCTTGTCCTCTAGAGAAAAATGTAAAACGGTGCTAAAGCAGGACCGTGACTATGGAAAAATGACTCGCTCAATCGAAACTTGAGTCACCTTGGAGTAAGTCGAGCCACATACTCAACAACGTCTCGTCTGAACCGTGAAATCCCTAAATCGAAACACACTAGAATAACTTCAAACACTCGGATCTGCAGATCTACGTGTATTCCAAAAATCTGGTGAGATTTTTTGTGCATTCGGATTTCGGTCACCCGAAAAGAGGTCTAGTCCTGTCTGCTGAACGGTCCCGGAAAGGATGAGAAAAAAGCTCTTCCGAATCCAGGTTCAAACTTTCAAGCAGTCAATCAAGCAGCACTGACCATTATTCCATAGATAGCATAGAGCTCTTACAATAGGCTAGCTTAACTATAAAGGCTGGATTTCCCCCTGGGAGAAGTGGAATCGAAATCTCTGTCACTCAAAGCTTCGCCCCTTGAATCTATTTATTCCGGCTACAGAGCAAGGCAAGGTATATGCCAGTTTGCTTAAGACTTGGAGTTCGAAGTGGAATGGATCTAATTCGATGAATTAGCCTCCTAAGGCAATTGCCCACTAATCCTCATCGCTGTCCTGAGCCTTATTTTCACACTTATTATAGAATCCCGATCTGGGAAGAAAAGCTATTCTTCTTAGCAGTTGAAGAAGTGAATTGAATCACCCTCGGGTCCGAGAATACTAAGCAGACTTTAACTCCTCCCTTATAGTAGCAATTCTGACAACAGATGCGGATTTGGGCAGTGCCCACTCCTCTAATGTAGCACAGATGGTACATTAAACAACCTTCGGCGGCACCTCCCCTTAATAATAAGAACCATTTTCATCATGACAGCACAATACTCATCATCCATTAGGAAAGATCTTCGAATTAGACTACTAAGTTCTTCTTTGGTGAAGGCGAAAGCCCCTACCCTAGGAGGATAGCCATGTTCATATACAGTTCTCTCTGAGACAAGAGCAGAACATAATCTTGCCTTTATTATTGATCTTGATATACATATTGGCAGCTCAGTTATAGATAGGGGGAACTCTTTCTAAAGTAAAAAGATTCACGGGAATAGAAGGAATGAAGGACAGCTACTCCTCTATGCTTACTACGAGCTATACCACGAGTCAAGCTAACTGCAATAATGAAAGTTGCAGTGGATAAGAGAAGACCGGAGCTTGCCATTCGTGCAGCGCTTATTTAAACACTAGCTGAAAGACATTCTAAAATCACTCTCTCTCCCATGACCCATAGCCAACTAGGAGAAGAAAGCCAGTTTATTCCCTTGAGGCTTGAGCCAGGTATTCGTTTAAAGCCTTTCGCTAGCATTACAACAGAATCAATGGCATCAGATTCATTAGCTGCGGACGCATAGGAATGAATTCTTCCCGTACTCTCTTTGTCAAGCCACCGGCTCCACTAAAGCAGCAAGACTTAGACTTAGCTTAGCCTAGCTAGCACAGACAGAAGGGAAAGCGAACCCGACTGATGAAGTCGAATGCTCCCACCCGATTCTTCTTGGCTTGACCACTCTCTTAAGCTTTCCCCCATCGAGAAAGAAAAATCCTATGTGAATCCTTACCTCTCACCTCTCCTCTCTACTCATAGCAGACAATCATAGACTTTCAATCGAGTGAATACCCGGCTAGCTCGGATCTAGGTCTATTGTAAAGCTTTCGCTTCGCCCCTTAGTCCAGAGCGATCGCGGGACACGGAATAAGCCTACACATCGGTTTCTCCGAGGCGCATGCAGCTTTCATATCTGCACTCCATAATCTCGTAGAGTAAGATGTCCGGTTTACTCCCTATGATCCCGAGACCCGGCTCACCAAGGAGTTTTTTGGGATAGCGGTTGGATCTCAAGATCCTGGCGGATCGACAGATCGCGACCCGAGCTCACCGCTGGAGCCGAGTTATGAGCCCTGACACAACGGCTCTCGAATTAACAGCGCGGTTACATAGAATGAAGTCGACCGGGGCTCCCGAAGCCTGCCATGTCTGTCCGCCATTGCAAAGGCGTCGAGCAATGCCCAGAGCCTATCCCCGGCCTCGAGTCATGGAATGAGTAACTTCATAAACCGCGTAGTCGACGAGGAGGAATCGAACCCTTGTTCTTTCACACATGAGCGGGTAAACAGACTCTGCGGTGCGTGCTATCTCCGGACCAGAAAGGCTGTGCTTTGCGGTGCGAGCTGAGAGGCGGAGCAGATTCCCGAATGTGCTTCGTCTATGATGTATTCACCTTACTGCTCTATCGACACATCGAAGGATTTTCGGCAAAGAATTCCTCCCCTGGTTTTTTGAAAAATATCAAGTCTTGGTGGACCATAAGCGGGTAGCGAACCCCGGTTAGCTGTCGATGTGTGGCTAGTTCTGTTGAGCTTTGCTCCGCTTCTTAGCCCAGGTACAGTCTCTGACGATCTCATTCTCTCAGCGATCTATGCCACGTCGACCCCCTCTCTTAGACATGGCTTCGCGGAATGTGCTTTCGTCCTGTCTCCCAAGGGAAAGGGATATTCCGCACATGCTTTAGTTGAGCTGTGAGAAGGGTAGATTCTTCTTTTCTTGTTGGGGTGGAGTAGAGGTCATTCGGATCCTCACACCAGTAGGAAACTTTGTTTTTTGAGTACATTGAGATGGGGAGCTGTCTAAGAGGGGCCCTCTCTTTAGCCTATCTGTACTAATGCTAGCCAATCTCTTGCAATTGGTCTATGGCAAAGGGTCATATTCAAGATGTCAGTCCGAGCTCGGAGCGTACCTATTTGTGTAAGCCGGGTCTAAGTAGTTGGGCTCAGAGCGGTTCCTAGCGCATAGACTTTGACTTTTCTTAGTAGGGCGAGACAAGGGATAAGGCAATCAGAGTAGGCTTTTACCGGCTTGAAGCTGGGGCGCCTTTTTCTGGGTCTGTTTTCCTCCTTTCTTTGCCGGAACTCCTACGCCCTCAGATGGGGAAGGAAAACGAGGCATATCTTTTCCGGGCTCATCAATCCCCCAGGTCTTGGAAAGGAGCTAACTGTATTCTTACTGCTAGCAATCAATCATTACAGCTTTTTGCATAAGGGAAGTCAGATGGAAATACACCATTTTGGTAGTCGCTTGTCTTATGAGTGAATCTCGATATATATCTATGGCCTTGAAGCTGAAGGCCTGTTCAAAAGATCAGATAGGCGGGTGGAAGCAAGAAAACGGCTGGCTAGCTCGTGCAATCTAAAAATGAGTCCTTCGCTTTAGTAAAGTAAGCTATCTTTGGTTTCTAAGGTTCTCGGGGCACTACGGTAGGACGTAGATCGATCATGACGAGAATGGACTTCTCCGTAATGTAATAGAAGAGTCACAGCCCCTTCTCGACTAGACGAAGGAGATATGAATTCCATTCAGGCTTGGCTTGACCCTCCTGGAGGCGCAAAGTTCATCATTCAGTGTGGTGGGGAGCCTCGCCTGGCAGATTGGGATGACTTGGATGCTGGGCAGATCCGGATAGAGTCTCGCTCATAGATAGAGGAAGAGTACGCGCGCTACGGGCAGTTGATCGGATCAGATAGCCCTTCGGGCAACCAACCGCACATCAAATTCCGATCAAGAACTTGGAGGGATGGCTGAGTGGCTTAAGGCATTGGTTTGCTAAATCGACATACAATCTTCTTGTATCATGGGTTCGAATCCCATTTCCTCCGGCAGAACGGGCGGGCGTGAGAGAAAGAACCTCTTGGCGGAGTTCCCAAAATAGCACTACTTAGTGACTAGGAGCGGAGAGCCTGTTTCGCGTTTTTTTTTTGTTTGACCGGTCTATCTTCTTTCTATAAGCAAGCTCCCTCCGGCAGGGACTGGACGGCTCTCGGTTCTTGAGCATGTTGGGAGATTAGGCGGCAGTTGAAAGAGTTGCTCGAAAGCTTGACGAACAAGCGAAAAAAGCCCTATATCTATTTTAGTAAAGGACTTTTCCCTTACTAGTCAAGTGGTAAGGTAGGGCGCTCTTCGATGAATAAAACACAGACTTTAGGAAAGTGGTTCAGGTAGCTCAGCAGGTTAGAGCAAAGGACTGAAAATCCTTGTGTCAGTGGTTCGAATCCACTTCTAAGCGGGCGAAGGGTCCAAAGCAAAGGACACGTAGCCGGGAGCGAGCCGGATTTGGAAATTCAAGTGAAAGAAAAAGCCAAAAAATCTCGCTCCTGCACTCTACGGCTTTTTGGCGTCGCCATATCTTGCTGGAGGCAGATTTTCTAAAAAAAGCGGTTTCTTACTCGGATTGGTTCTCGCCTCCCTGTGTCCAAAAGGATGGGCGAGTTCGGTTCAAGTCTTCATCGATCGGGTGGATCTATATGCTCCGGGGGGGTGAGACGAGGTGTAGCGCAGTCTGGTCAGCGCATCTGTTTTGGGTACAGAGGGCCATAGGTTCGAATCCTGTCACCTTGACCAAGGGCTATTTATTTTGATATAGATCTAAACCCTTTCCCGGGAAAAGAAGTTAGGGATTTTGGGCAACAGAAAAAATGGCTGTTGTTTTGCTTCTCCATTTCCAAGCAACCCCATTCCTATCTGTAACCATATAAATGACGAGTATGAATAACGAACTGCCGTAGCCCCTTTCTCATCTCTAATGGCCATGGATACATAGTGGCTGGTCGAGGGGTTTGGTTATCGCTGGCACTACTTCCACTTTCTCGCTTCGTACTTCACATTCGATCAGCGATCAAACTTTAGGCTAGTTTATTTCCCTTCGTCCTGACCTGGCATACAAATAAAAGCCCATGACCTTCTTTTCGTCTTCAAGGAATGTCTGTAGCGTTCTCATCTCTGTACTGAATGATTGAGCTACCCATGCTATGACGGAACTACTCCACTGTCAACTGATCGAACTAGACTGATCTAGCGACACTAGCATCTATCCATCAAGGAACTGAGCTATGCCACGGATGTCGCTCTGACTGAACTACCGAGACTGACTGACAAACGAACCCAGCTCTCAAAGACCTAGCTATACTACTTAATTACTGACCCATGCTACCTATTCTAGTGCGCTAGGTAGGAAAGGGAGACAAGAACTACATTGCTATACCTGAATCAGTTTGACTCAATGCTTGCACTTAGACCTTTCCCCCAAGCTTCCTTCTATGCTGACAGAAGCGGAGAGGAGGGTTTTCACTTCCGTTGAGAAAGAATAAATGCCCTAGCTCAGCTTCCTAGCATGACACATCAGCTACGCCATCAGAGACTGAATTAGAGCCTGGACCTCCACTTGCTAGTCAGGAAATATCACCGCTCCGTGGGCTTCTTTCGCTGCTCTCTTAAGCTATCGCTCGCTTTACGAGTGCAACCTGCAACCAAGTTCAAGAAACTGCTAATTAAGATACTATGCTGGTATCTATCTAAAAGTCAATATCTGTGAGAAGCTTCTTTCTCATACACATCCGAAGCAACGTCTGATCATCATCATTAGATAGTTTAGCTGGTCCTCATCCGAAGTTGAGGCATTCAACAACTTTCTGAGACACCATTCTTTCCAGGGAGAGAAATCCTTCTCTTTGGTTGGGAAAGAGTAGGAAAGATAGGACCAGGACGGCTGTGATTGAGAAAAGCAGGCTGAATTCCTATTCGATTGCTCCGCACCTGTGCCTGTCTTGTATTGAGGAAATAACTTTCAGTGTGGTGGGGGGCCTTACCTTACGACTGCTACTGCCCCAACAGTTCTTCAAGCTATTTTTGTTGGGGGTAGAGTCTGACAAGGTGTAACGACCAGGTACCCACATTGAAGAAAGATAGTATAGTCATCAACTTGAATCAGATGAATGAGATTTGATGATGTCCGATAATAAATAAGAGTTCAATCGGCGCCCTTTCAAGAGCTTTTTCCCTTCATAATGACAATTGAAATCGGGCAAGTTCACCGGGAAGGCTTCGGGTAAAGTCGGGCAAGGAGTTCGCAAAGAGTCATAGCAGAGCCAGCGCGAAGGATCAAAGGCTGAGTAAGTAAGGGCTTTTCCCTCTCTCTCCCCCTTAGCGATTTGACTGAAAGCCTTACGATGGGGTCCTTCAAACTATCGGAGATGCCTTGTCATCACATCCACTACTTCGTCCCTTGCTATACCGAGCCGTACCGTAACATACCGTACGGGGGTTGAGTCCTCTCTCATTGAAGAAAGGGATGATGGGCAGCTACTCAACTCTTAAAGATGCCCAAACATCCGCGATTAGTGATGTAGCTTCTACTCTGATAACCAGCATGCGATGAGCAAACCGGTAAGAGGTACTCGAATCCGACGGCTCAATCAATCCTCTATTTTGAAAGGGTTAGAGCCCGGTGATTAGCTTTAGCTTCTAGATCAGCATCCGGTAAAAGGAGGACGGGCAGTGAGTTTAACAATCCACTTTTTCTATTCGCTCTAGCCAGGCTTTCATCCGCTTCTACTTCAACCTTCTCCTGGGGAGGAGAGGAAAAGCAGTTTTTTCGATACGATCTCCCTGTCTCGCTGCACCGGCATAGAGGGAAACTTCTTCTGCGTTTTGTCTAGGAATCGATTGATCTTAACGAAAAACGGCTTTTGATCGGTCCGCGTGATGTGGCTCCCTTATCTTGCAGCCCTTTGTAGAGCATTTTAGACTTTCTCGCGCAGCAGGAAATCGAAAGCACGAGCTTCGATCAACCAATGAAGCAAGCTTTTTTGGTAGGGCAGTCCTTCTGTGTGTAGAACATTGGCTCATGCGTCCAATGGGTGGCACCTGACTGTTCCCAGTTCAGTTGGAACAGAAGCCACCAACATTCATTGGTGGGGGAGCTGACTGAAGTCTCCCATTACCTCTGGTAATCATGTGACGACCGTAGGAGGTAAAATAGAATTTTATTCTTCTACCCTAGGTGGTGCACTTTCACATTGGCCATAGGGGGATACTTGAATGCCTCTTTCTACGTCAATTTCTTCTTCAATAGCTGGTCCTATTCTTCCAACAGCTAAATCTCGGCTGGTCTTTCTTAATTTAATTAAGGTGAGGATGGCACGTGCTTTCCTAAATCCATTTCACCGGGTGTTCACTCAACACGAATTTCATCCCGAGGTGAACAACTTTGGTATGTCTGGCCACGATACATGACATGAAAAGTCGGCTGGCGGGATAGGCCACAAGTCATTTTTATTCTCTTGAATCGGCTATCATCTCACTCGACTTCCTATTAGGAATGGCTTCCTTTCGGGTTGTGTTGTTACGGACAGTTATTCTAACGGGGCGGGGAGACGTACGGTACGGCTATGATCGGGCAATAGCGCGGTGCAGATCGGATGAATGTGAAGGATATGGTTCCAGTTCTATACCATCCCGTTCCTTGATCAAAGAAGATGACATGCCCCGGGGCTAGTGCCGGCGCATAGTCGAGTCTTCCCTGCGTGCCTAACATCCACTCCATACAGTCGAGTGCCTTGCGGCGCCTTTAACC